ACATACCCTGTGAAAAGCAAATTCTATAAAAACTACAAGCGAATGAATGAATGAGCAAGCAAGCAAACAGCCATGAAAGAAAATCTGGAAGGAAGGGAAAAGTGAAAGAGTTGCAGAATATGTGATTCTGAATCATCCAAAGGACTAATTATGACTTAAAATAGCTAAGAGAATAAAGATTAGTCCATAATAAGGCCATTGCATTTGGTTAACAGTGCACAGGTGAATGTAGTAAGATTGTAATATCTGTGCAAATCAGAAAGCTGAATTGAAACAGATCAAAGAAAAGCATTGACAGATGGATCCCAAATACAAAAGAAATCAGAGATAAATGCAGTACCTCACATAGCTAAGAATATTATGTGTAAAGAGAACAGAAATACCACAAAAAAAGACAAAAATATTAGGTTGTCCCTTCACAAATACAAAGAGAAATGAGACAGTAGAAAAGTGAGTATAGGGAGATGATAAAATTATAGAAATATATAGGGGGGAAAGCACAAAATTTTTTAAAATGGGTGGGAGGGACTAAATAAAAAGACATACTGTATCTGATGTTTGTCCCCAAAAGTTTACAATTGCTTTTGGGGAAAGCATACAAGTTCTGACCTGAAATAAGCAAACTGATGAATCAGACATAGATTTGATAAAGATTCAGTTTGAGGGTGGTAGTGTGAGAAAAAAAAAGTAGATATTAAAAAAAGTTGTTGGCAAGAGAGTCAACAAGGGCAAAATAAGTGTCAGGGAGAGAGCAGAGTTGGAGGAGGGAGAAACAAATTTGTTGAGGAGGAAGTCAGTATGTTTCTTTGACTTTCTCCACAGGAACAAAGCAGAATGTGAGCATAAATTAAGAGTGAATCCCAAAGGTGAATAAGCTTGAAGAATTATTAAGAACTCAGTCATTTTGAAAAATAGCAAATTAAGACAGAGGTAGAAAAAAGACTTTATTTGAACAAATATATAGCATTCAATGATAAGTAAACTGAAAAGATTAAGTCCTCATTATATTTTCTGTTTTTTCAAAGGAAAGTACTAAGTAGTAAACATTGCTATTATTTGGTAAAACTATATCCAAAATTATAATTTTTCAATTCAAAAGCACATCAGGTTATAAAAGTACTAGCCACTTTTGAAACAATTTTAATCAGAAATAATGCTTTGGCCTTCAGTAAATTCCCAACTGAGCAAACCATATAAAATAATAGAAATCTATACAATAACTAAAAAGTTCCCATAAAATGTCCATGTTGATTGCAGAATGCCTAAATTGAATTTAAATAAAAAGCATGTATATTTTATTCAATGAAGTTCAAGAATATTAAACTAAATGTGTGTTAGATTAATGCTGTAAATACTGTGATTAAACTAATGAAGAAAGTTATAATTCTACAAAGTAGTCTATAATTTGACTACATTACAAAAAGACAGAGGGAACTTTGCTATGCATATTTTAGATGCATTGAAATAAAATATTGTCTTCTAATGCATAACCTTTTACTGATAGAAGATGGCAAATGGTTGAATGTTCATGAGTGTGCATATCACTATTCAGAGAGGATATTTAAAAAACAATTTGAACACACATATCTGAAATAGTGAGTCTTCTATCAACTTTTCAAGGCTGACTTACATGTGCTCACAAATGGCAGCCCAGCAGGCAGTGACATCAGACCTACAAACGATGTGGCCTGTATACTGTGCAGTGAAGTGCAGTGCTCTACTTGTTTGCAATGGTTTTATTTTTCGACTAGTTTTTATCACACTTGGCATGAACAAGGGAACATGTGCTTTGCTAAATTTGAACTTTTAAGATGAAACTGAATTAACTGAGAACCAAAAAATTGCTTCTGAATTTTCCCAAGACTGAAAAATGCTTTTCCTTTCCTTTCATACTAGGAATGGCAAAATAAATGACAAATACATCTTGAAAGTTTAAATGTGAGTTAGAAAGACCCTGTGGTTTGAGAAAACATTGTCAACTGTTTTCTTTTTTTAGACACCTGAAATGGTAAGTTTGAATTGAAATGGCTTTTTCACATACAGTACACTTTTACCAAGAAGAGATGTACTAAATCTAAACCAAAGTAAACCTAATAAAGGCAGTAAATCTAATATATAAAGCAAACTTTGTTTTATTTTTTTAACAAGAAAGTTCAATTAATTGGATGTTTATTAAAATCCAATATAACCATCAAAAATATAAAGCCAACTCTTGCCCCAAAATGTAATCATATATTTTTTTCCTATTAGTATTGGCGTAAAGAACTATATTGGTTAAAACAATCAGGGGCATACACACAGAGTTGCTTTTCCCTCCAAATTTCCCTCTTCCTCCTTGTAAAAGGTGTGTCATAATACACAAGCATAAAAGCTTTGTATATAAAATGAGTGCCCACTATGCAGGTATTTTTAAAGAGTTGAACTCCAAAATAATTTGAAACATAATTCAAGTTATAAATTGCAGGACATGTTTATAAGGAATCTAGTGATAAGTAATAGGTCAAACAATCTGAAAGAATCAGCTTGTGGTACAAGCTTCATTGCATTAACAATGTCACAGCTAGTATGTTTATTAAATTAAATATTACCAGCAAGGGTCTTCTAAATGCCATGTTCCTAATACTAGATTACATATTTATTTCGGAGTTAGCATAGTAAGAAGGGGAGCTATCACTAGAAGCTCTATTAAGCCATGGATTCTTTTTTCATTGCTTTAATGGAACTATTCAAATCAAATTTTTCACGCCATGCCTTGAACACTGCTGCAAACCATACTGTGGGTGTAAAATACATGCAAGGCAGATATAATCAGCTCAGATGAGGCCAGTGACTTGTACACCATCAAGTTTACTTTATTGTGAAAGCAGTGGGGTTTTATTTCAAGTGAATATATCTTTAAGTGTGTGGCAACCTAACCCGCAAGCGGAAGACAGGAAGCGAGAAGACACATAAGTTTCAAACAGCTGAATTAAACCAAGTATAATGCAATGCCTGAAATTTTCTCCTGGTTTGTCTGTCATCTCTGAGAGATTCTTGTTTTGACAAAAGAATACCTCTGACCGTCACTTCAATAATTCACACAGATTCAACTTGCTTAAAAAGTCTTGGCTACCTTTGTAAAAACTGATTTCACTGATTCTAGGTTAAAATATTATTCTTTCAGATATCAAAATTTATCAACCAATTGCCAACATACCAGAATAAATTAAACATTTTTTAAAATCTAATTGACTCATTAGGCTTTTATGTTGCTGTTTTCTTTATGAATAAGTTTATTGTTTTTGTTTCTTTCAAGGAAATCTAGATAAGCCTGATTATTACAGGATCACGCGGTTCTACTTTTTTCCCCTATCCCATGGCCAAAATGCCTACATGATAACTCATAGCCACACACAAAAAGGTGCTGTACCTGAGGACAGATTGAACTTTTCACAAAATCCTTTATGAACATATACACATTGTTAAAATATCACTTGAAGTGATATTTTAAAATAAGCAGTTTAAGTTTTCTGGGAAGGTAAATGGCCTCTGTATTCAACAAAGCTTTTGTTCCTAACCTGCATCCTAAACAGAAAGTAGAACATCCTCTAAAACCTCAATGCTAAAGAGATAAGAAATAATATGACAAAAAGAGCTGAGTCACAAAGAGTTTTAACAGTGGGATGTATAAGAAAATATAACTCAAGAGGTAAAGGGCTTCAGGAAGTCCTCCATAGACCTTAAGATACTACATTTTCAAAACTCGGGTGATGTAAGTCAGTTCTAAAAAGACAGAAACCAACTGATTTTTTTTTTTTAAACTGGTCAGTAAATTTCAGCTAGTCCTAAAAAGTCTGTTCATGCAGGCCTGGCTTTCCAGGAACAGCAGGAAGGCAGCACCCGCAGGCCAGCGCCTAGGCCGCACGCCCTTCCCGACCTGTAGGGTACAGGGGGCTGTTACTCAGAGTCCCACCTGGACCTCGGCCCGGCTCCACGGCCTGACCCGGGGTCCAGACCTGGACCCGAGGCTGGGAAAGCCGGGCGCCCGCAGCGCGCACGCCCAGCAGCCAAGCAGGGAAGCCTGGCCCAGGCTCCGCGGCGGGTCCAGGACTCCCGAACCTCGGGCCTGGGCTCCGATATGCCCGACCCAAGCTGCGGCCTCGCCTGCCAGTGCAGGACCACCGCCGCCACCCTCGCCCACTGAGCGCTCTGATCCTTCTGGGTCCACCCCGACCGGGTTGCGTCCGCCTGAAAGATTAGGAACCCGGACCCTGCAGCGCTGGGCACCTGCCGGCTGCCGCGCTCAGCTCCAAGTGAGACTGAAACTGAGTTAAAATGGCGGGGATTGTGAGTGGCGGGAAAGCAAGAGCCACACGTTCACCTTCTTTTTACTTCCTTTCTCTTTTTTTTTTTTTTTTTTCGCAAATATACCGTTGAAAACTGAGGCAATCTGAGTTTACAGGGAGGATTCGCCACCTCTTTCGGCCCTTAAACTGACCCCCTACTCTCACGGACATAAAAGGCAACTTGAATTCCAGCGTGACACGCGAACCTTGATTCCCACTAGGCCTCCCGGAACCAAACTCTGATTCCTTTGAACAGAAGCAGGTTCTCAGACACATTGACAGTATCACTTCACTAGACACCCAAGACTCCTTGGAAGCGAGGAGAAATGATGATGCTTTAAGGGGACAAGAAAGCACACTGCCTCCGAACGCGTGGCTGCAAATTTACCTCACGCTGACTCAGTCCACACAGCAGATGGTGGCAGAGCTGCAAGGGAAACGACCTCCCCAATTTTTTAAAGAACTTCCTAATAGCAGCTAAAGCGCGTCTTTCAGTACAAGGCACTACGTTCCTGTGAAATCTATCCTCAGCTCCCAAGAGCTTCGTTTACGCACATGACACCACTCCTTTGCTCACAGGGACTCTGCCCCGAGGGCTGAGGGCCCCGCCAGGCGCGCGCGCTCTCGCGACCAGGCCTTGGGTCCCAGAGCTGAGCGCCGTCCCCGCGCGGCCTCGAGTTCTTACCACCCCTGCCCCCGCAGCCTCTCCCCCGCGACCGCACGTGCGCCTGCTCCTCAGCGCGACTAGGTGGCCAGGTAGCAGGAGCTCAGCCCTGGTCGGGTGAGTGATTACGTGAATGCATTACTCCACTTCACTTGCTAACACATGCACCGTGTTTTGTACTTTTCGTCCTCTTCTTTAGTTCTTAGATGTGCAAAGGAGAAGGAAACACAAAGGAGAATCAGTCATCGCTTTTCTGTGTGGCAGACAAAACTCCACGGAACGCCGTCTAGTGGCGGAATTGTCCAGGGAAGGCAAGTCAGTTTCATCCTCCCTCGAATTTTCTTTTGAATTGGAATTTTGAAGGTTCTTTACGTCTGTCAGACTGCAAAGGGGACACAGGACAGTCTCTAGATTTTGTCCGGTAACCTGAGGCCAGCCCAGACTAAGCAAGAACGTTAAACCATTTTTCTGACTCTATCCTGAATCACCTCTTTAGAGACCAAAGGCCAAAAAAATCACATCTCTACCAGGTGAAGGTGGAACTCTGCGGAATCCTTGCCTAAGGCGCAGCGGCCCCCAGGCGGAAATTTCTCATTTTTATATTTGTTCTCAAGGGATGGGAATCTGGTCTGGGTGGGAACTGGCACGGGAACTCCTGTAAAGGAGTGACATAGCTAGTAGCCTCCAGACACCTCCCAAAACAAGTTTTAAACTCAGTGCTTACAAATGGCTCTTCCTTGGATTTGTTCTATGGGTCCTTCTCTACCCCACCCCACATGATCCCCCAAAACCATTCACTCAAGAAATGTAGTCCATTCTGTGTTTGCATTTACCTCCAAGGCCTCTTAGTAAGACCAACATTTTTGACACCTGTCGTCAACAGCCTATCTTACCATGCTTTAAAATTACAGCCTACTCTCATCCAATACTTCCCACCTTACTTTGTGAAATTTAAAGAAATTCTTAACTCCTTATTTAAAGACCCTACTTTTCCTGTTCGCCTCATTTCTAACTTCAGAGAGAATCAGAGACATATATGAAGAAAGTAGGTATATTTTCGGTTGGGGGGATGAGCGCAATAAAAAGAAACTTGACTCACAGGGAACTAAATAACTGTAAATAAAAAGGAAATCGCAATTCCTGAGAGTGCTATAAAGCAAATTCAAGGAGGAAATTAGAGGTGGTTCCAAATAAACATTCTACTCCTTATCAGTAGGAACAGGCTAATCTTCCTTAACCCTTAAAAGTAATTACCTATAATAATTATTTTCAAACTGTAAACTGCTTTCAAACACCATAGTTAGCGTTTTACCAGGTTTATTTTACTTGTATACACAGACGATACAAACGAGCAAAAAACAAAACGTTTCTCAATGGAGTGTGTACTTGTATAAATTATTCAGTTCACAGACAAAACGAAACAAATATAAAAATCACAACATTTGATTTACAGAAGAGCCAAAATATACACACGTTTAGACCCTGAATTCCTATTAGGAAAAAATCCCCCCATGGACTGGAATCTAGATTGAATATTGTGTATGATGCATATTTCACATTAATTTTAAAATACAAAAAAAAAGTATAGGTTTGCTACACAACATTAGAAATCTTACTAATCTATTTCCAGGGGGATTAATGTTCCTTATCAAATATAACAAGACTTAGAGGGGGGAAATCAGTCTTATTTGCATTATGCTAGTGTTTTCCCAAGGAAGTCAAATTTCAGCTGTTTCTAAGTGGCAGGGGGAATCATTTTCAAAACTAAAATGCAATAAAATATACAACTCACACAATTCATCTTCACTAGACTACACTATAGTTACCAACAATTCAGTCATCTATATCATTAGTAGAGTATTCATTACAAAGATTTACAGCATATAAAGGTGGAGGGGGGCTGAAAAGATATTCAAAAACAGTTTGTCAGCATATTTGGCACCTGCACAGACCAGTAATGGATTTGGCACTTTGGGGAAAACAAATAAGGCAAAATAATATTGCTGATGTCGAGCTATTCTATTTAGAAGGAAGGGAGGAAAACACAACTCCAGTTAACTTTGCTTTGCAGGCATCATGCCACTTAATCTACTTGCCTATGAACAGACACCTATCCTTTACAGGTGTTTGGGCAGATTCTCCTTAGCTATTTGTGTGCATTAGGGCACATAGTAATTATTTCATGCAACGAATTGAGGAGAAGTGAGAAACCCATGACTATCAAGTATTTCATTGTTTCCAGAGCCTCTTAGAATGTTTTTAATTATCTCACAAGAAAATAGAAAAGAGAGAAAGGAAGAATGAGAGAAGAAAAGGAAAAGGAAGGAAACGGAAATAAAAAGGTTAAGCATGAACTGGTTTTGTGCCTTGACGATGAGAATAAAAACTAGCCATTCGTTACAATAAATTAACACTATGTACAATCATTTCACAGGCTTTGTTCCACTACAATTATTAACATCCCTACCATCCATCCATCCATCCATCCACTCGGGGATAAGAAAGGACGCGCTGGGTGGGTCCAGGTTCTAGAGTCAACATCCTATGGTTAATGGGGAGGCCGAGACACGGCGAGTCGGAATCGATTCTGCCTGACTGGATTGCCCAGGTCTCCTAAAGGTGAAGAGTTTCATTACAAGAAAAAGAAGGAGGAGGTGAGAGACAGACGAAGGGGAGGAGGATTATTAGAAGGATAACTTCATAGAAGGAGATGAAGTTGGAAAACCAAAAGGTTTACAGCAAAGTTGAAGGTCGGTGCTCTAATTGCAGAGACGGCTGTGCAAAAAAAAGTGGGGGTAGGGTTAAATCATAGTGGGAGACCTGCACTTATTCGCTGCAGACGGTCATCGAGGGTCAGTAAAATGAGAGGGCACTCAAAGTAGGGCCTGGGAAAGAGGAACTGGGGAAGAGCTGTGAGGGGCTGGCTGGGGGGTAGGGCCGCGGCGGCGCGCGGGCCCTAAGCAGGCAGGGACGGCCTAGCTGTGCGAGTAGAAGCCATAGTAGCCGCCTATGTCCTTGGCGCAGTTCTTCTCGCAGTCCCGCTGGGCCAGCACCTCGCTCTTGAGTGGGGACGAGCTTTCCGACACCGGCGTGTCTGCTGGCGAAATCCGCCTCCTCTTGGCCTGCTCGTAAATCCCCGAGTCGCTCGAATCGATGGACTTGATGGAGGAGGGCGTCTCGATCCAGCTGGAGTCGGACAGGTCCTTGGGCTTGGCGTCCTCGGTGGTCCCGGGCGGAAGCGGCGAGCGCTCTGCGGCCAGGCCCTCGGCCTCCTCGCCCAGGTAAGGGTTGGCTCCCGCCATGCGCGCGGCAGCAGCGGCGCTGTTGGGCCAGCAGGGCAGCACAGAGCCCGATTTGGCGCCGCAGTACTGCGGGGGGCTGCGTGCGCCCCAGCCCGACGGGTCGGCGTAGTAGCCGAGCGGGCGGCCGGTGCAGCCGGCTGCCTGTAGCGGCAACGCCTTCACGCCCGCCGCCGCGTAAGAGAGCAGCGTGGCCGCGTTACCCGCGAAGTCCGTGGCGGTGTCGTAGGCCGAGGCCGCGAAGTCTAGCCGGTTGTTTGCTGGCGTCACAAACCAGCGCTGCGGCGATGGCGCGCCGGGGTCCTCGGCCTGCTGCGGGGACAGCAACCCATTGGTGTGCGGCACGCTGCGGTCCGTCCCCGGCCCAGGGCCCGCGCCTGCACCCGGGTGGAAACGGGCCTTGGCGTAGTTGCTCACGAACTGGTCCTGCAGGAAAGAGCCGGCCATGGCGTAGCGAGCGCCGGGCACAATCTGCGAGCGCGGAGAGTCGTTGGGCGACGGGGTCAGGCGGTCCATGTCGCAGCCCGTGTAGATCCTGCGGGGGAAGGGAGAAAGAGAGAACCGACGGGTGGCGCGGAGGTCCCTTTAGGGTGCTGAAGGGAAGGATACCTCCACTTTTCGCCCACCTCCACACTTTCCGTCTGTAATTTGCCCTTGCCATACAGAATGGATGCAACAGAAGGTCACAGGACCTGCATCCTCCCCAAAATAAGTCTTGGGTTTATAAGGAGGCCCTTTGTCTATGCAGAAACCTAAGCAGGACGTAGAGCACCTAGAGGAAGGCTTTCCTCTTCCCCTTCTCTCCCCTGCTAAGGGCACAGGGGACTCCAGAGGGGCCCGCAGGAGGCTTTCGTCCCATTTCTCCACCCTTTCTCCACATTGAGCCAGAGTACACTGGGACTGAGGCATTTGCCCAATGGGCCTTTCCTCTGTGGCGAGTTTCTGAGTGAAATTTTAAAAATAGGTACCCACTCCCTTCACCATTTTAACACTCCTATGTCCATTTGATTGTTCAGATGATTTTGCTTCTCCATTTTCTAGATAGTCTAAGCCAGCCCTGGGGAGAATATTATTTGGGGGGCGGGGGTTGAAGGGGGCACATATATCCAGGTAGTAATCATCAAAGACTGGCTTTCGCTGGTCCTCTGAGACTCTGGTGATTGCTGCTGGAAGGTATTTTTTGTCTATTGTTTCCCCTGTGTGAGCCTTTGCCTCCCACCTCTACCAATGCAAACGAATGAGAATGACTGTTTGGAAACAATCATCCCCAATCAATAAAACTCTTTAAAAAGTAAAAATGTTCTTTACTCCGACCTTCTCTACCCCCAGCTTTTGATCCACCCTTGGCAATAACTTTAGGGCAAACTCTTATAGTACAGTTATCAACCTCCCCCAAGCAATGAACCACTTACAATAGCTAACCCTTACAACAGCATATATGTGCTAGGCACTGTTTTCTGTAGAATGTACAGATAATAACTTATTTAACTTACAGCAACCCCACTTTACTGATGAGTAAACTAAGGCAAAGGGAAGCTAAATAACTTGCCTAATCACAAACAGAGTTTGTGTTGTTGGGAATTACCTTAGATAAAATAAAAGTTAACATTTAGGCCCTGGGCCTAGGAAATCCCATTAGAATTGAAGGGGAACCGGGGATTGGATGAAGATTAGAAGTGTTTGCTCGTACACATACACACATGCCTCCCTTTTTATTTAGCTCACACATGAGTCTTTTAGTCTTTAGTCAACAGACTGTTTTGAAGGAAAGCCCCAGTCTTGTCAGACCTTAATCCTTTGGGGAGGAGATTCCCTGGTGAGTGGCCAAGTAACCTCCTAGTACCCCAGGAACTCTTGTGCCTCTCTGTATTTCTCCAAAATCAAGCCTGCCCAGTCAATTAAGTGGGGAAAGGAAATATCATAAACCACTCAATTCTTCACTATCCCCCTAAAAAGCCCAAGGTATGTTTTTATATAGTTAAAAAAATTATGAAAAAATAGTGATTTAAGAAAGGGAAGTGGCTTTTCCAAGACAGAGGATGAGGGACAGGTGAGAATGGCAATGGCTGCTCAAGTGCATTCTGGTGACTACGGTAATTTCCTTCTAGAAATTTAATTCCAGTTTCAAATAAGAGAAAAAGAGGGAGGCAGAAAGGGAACATAACTAGGAAGGTACAAATATCTTCTCTGTTTACCATCACAATACTTTAAAAAGAAAAAAAAAACAGTCTGCAAAAGATACAGTTTAGATGCCCATCCAGGTCCCAAACCACTTGGGATTACTGAATTGATTTGTGCAAAATAAAATACTTTGGAACAGCTGTTCATAACAGAATTAAAAGCTCAAAATCAATAGGATTCTCCTCCTGTATCCCTGGTCTCCTGGGCCACATTCTTTCAACTGTGCTGGCCCCACCTTTTCAGGTTGTGAGAACTTGGGTAGCCAAGTTTTTATTCTGGGGAATCATTGATGAGGCTTGCTTCCTCTGAACTACTTTTGAGGAAAGCATAAGAAGGTTATATACAGTGATGCCAATGACTGTCTTTTAAATAAAATATCGAGAGAGAAGATGGATATCTGCCTGGAAATTGAATAGGGGCAGCCACCTGCCTTTTTCTCTACACATTTAATCTATTCCTAGACAAAAACAGCTTCAACTTTTGAGCTGTATCCCAAACACTCAATCCAAGCCATGAAACTAAGATGTATGTACCCTTCTCTCCTGTAGACAGAAAAAGTGGGGGAACTTACAGATTTAGATTTTGCTATATAACACTGTCTGAATTTTTAAGCACTATGACTGGCCCCTGAGTGAGAATCCCAAAACAACCCCAGAAAGCCTTTAGTTTACACCTACTGCTGCCACTAGAGAATAGCTTTTTGCTAGAAGAAAAGAGATAGGTAAGAAGCCTGAAAAAGAGGGGGGGGGGAACCAACGCATTTAATTGACACATGGTTAGATATACAAGATGAGGAAATATTTGTCTTTTGAAGCTTATAAATAATACACAGCAACAGCATCTTAGTCCTTCCCGAAGTATGAATTGACTATAACCAATTCTACTCATGAACTCGCCTGTGATGGGTGCACATTTTTTTTCAGTCCATAGTAAACTTGCATAGGAAATGCTATTACACAAAACTTGGAAATGGGTAAATAAAAGTCACATATGCCAAGGAGACTGTAACAACTGCCAGAGCCACATGCACTTTCAGGCAGAATTGCCCGTTTCAGACACAGACAATCTGAGCTGAGCATCTGCAGTGCCACATACAACACCCGCACCCAGGAACAAGGGCAGCTTCCTCAGCCAGCCAAACCCAGAGGCCGCCAACTTAGTAATTCCCAGGAAAGCTAAAAATAGGTAGAGGAAACCTTTGACCCAAATCACACAAATACCAAGCCACAAGATCACCAGAGAACAGGGGAACCAACAGAGAGAGAGAGAGAGACAGAGAGAGAGACCGACCTCAATTAACTCACACATTCTAACTTCCAAAACCCTTGTACATAATGATCCACCCTTGACCTAAAGGCCAATCCACAACTATTTGAAAAGGAACATGCAAAATTACTTACGTGTCATAATTATCCCGAAATCCTTTTGCAAAGGGGTTGTGATCTATTTTCAGTTGTGTAATCTAGGGGAGAAAAAGAGGGGGGGGGGGATGACTGTAATTTCCCCTTCTTATATCATCTGACACTTATTACAGGGACTTAAGGCCTATGGCTTTATTAAATAACAAGATTTCCCTACCTGAAAAATTAGAGAGAATAGATGAAAAGACAAAAAAGAGCAAGTATCATGAAAGTTATGAAGGACATGTTTAAATTAGTGACCCCTAAAACTGAGGCATTGTTTTCAATGAACTCTCCTGTGTGTTCTGATTTGGTTCAAACTCACATTTTTAAAATTCTTGTTTCACATAATGCACTTGCACAAAAATCTTTTTAAAAGAACTTGAATTCATCACCAAATTTGCCTATTTTAAGTGTTTTGCCATATTTTTAAAAGTTGGTCACTTTTGATTCACAACTGAGGAACAGGCAAATTGCATCTCAAACTCGGGTTTGATTTAAAATAAAAGCATGTTTTCATTTTTAATATTTTCATTTAACTAAAAAACCCCTATCATTCCTAGTAGTCAAATCAGCCAGTAAAATCAGTTTTTGTAAACATACAAATACTGAAGAAGTTCGAGTGCCAGAAAACTCTGTAGCTCCCAGTAATTTGATTTATTGTATTTTCACATACAGGAATGCATGTTTTTTTCTTTTCTTTCTTTCTTTTTTTTTAATATCCCAGAACAGACTGTTTTGAAGGAGAGCCCCAGTCTTGTCTTGTAATATTTGTTCATTTTAACCATCAATTCTGAAAATTTTTAAATTATTTTTTTAGATGTCAAAACTTGCCGAGAATAAAACGGGGCGATCTGCTTGTTTCCTAAAGGAAAGAGGGAAAAGAAACAAAGAAGGGGGGAGGGAGGGGAGAGAGATTTTAATTTGTTCTACTTTAAGGAACAAATTAAAACTCTCAAAAGAAGAGACCCTAGAAATCATGGCCACCTCATAGTGACCGAGTCAGAGAGGAAATCGAAAAATAGGAAGCATTGTCCCGGGCATGGTATTTAGGGAAGTGCCTACCAGGCCCCTAGCCCTAAGCCTAAAGCGCTCCGCAGAGCCAGCTGTTGCTGATGTTGGTGCTGTTAGCGTCAGAGCCCAGGAGGGCGCGGGGATACGGAGGGTGCGGGAAATGTCAGCGCCGCCAGCCGCGCACAGACTCTAGGCCTCCTTACATCGGTGTTTTGGTAGGCGGTGACCGCGATGAACTGGGTCTCGGGAAAAGTGAATGTTTGCACGCGACCAGGCTGGCTGGTGTCCTCTGTGCCGTCCTCGTTCACTTCCACCACATGCAGGCGGGGCTGGTACTTGTGCAAGGACTGTAAAACCACCATCTGTCCGACGAAGAAAAAGGAGAACGCCGAGCGGCGTGTTAACTTGGTGGTCGTGCCGGTGGTTGTGTGCGACCGGCCGCTACTCCAAAGCCGGGCGAGGACAAACTAGATCCCGCCACCCCGGATAACTGACCGCTGGACCCGTCCGGCTAGTGACCCGGTGGCTGCAGCAGATGGGTCCTCGCGCCTCAGGGAGCGAGAATCCGCCTGGATACTCGCGAAAACCAAACCCGACCGCGGATCCTCAAGAGCCCTTCTCCTAGACCTCCTTTGAGGAGAAACAAAGATTTTTCACAACCTGCAGATCTCTTGGGTTCCCTTCTCAAAATTAATCAGTATTTGTACTTGGGAAGGTCGGGAACTCCGGAACTGGGCCAGGATTGGGGGGCAAAAAGAACAACTTTATAGATCTAATATAGTTTTGAGTGGCGGAAATATAATTTTTTAGTATTTAATGAAGCAAAGCACCATCCAGTTTCGCTTGCTGTTTTATACTGTCGAACGGTGTGTGCGCGAGTGTGTGTGAGTGTGTGTGTGAGAGGGGGGAGGGAAGCACGAGCGCTTGAGCCACTGACCTGCCCATTGTTGTTTGAAGCTCCTTTGTTGTTCGTTAGTTTTAATTTTCCAAAAGAGATTTCTTGGCGCATCCAATGAGCCCCAGTGTTCGGGGAATCTGGATGCATATAGACCCGATTTCCTAGAGAAAGAAGTACGTTGTTTACATATGCCCCGGGCACTGCCCAGTCCTAACTCCTCACTTCATAGCGCCAGCGCGCGCGCGCGCGCGTACACACACACACACACACACACACACACACCTCACTCCACTGTGAGGCCCATTAGCTCGGCTTTTTAAGGCCGTGCTTTCTTCCTATTAACTGGGGATGATTAAAATAGCTTTTGCATAATCCTCCCCCTCTCGCTCAGTCTGTCCCCTTGTCCCCTCGTCTCCTTTAAGAAGTCATTGGCCGATCGTTTTAAAAGTCGCTCGCCAGTCCACAAAGGCTTTAATTAATCATTCTCACCTAAATAAGTGTCAAGAAAAAGTGTTAATTGGAAGGACTTGCCTTGCACATTGGTGTCCGCTTTGCCGCAAGGAACCCATTTGCCTCCTTGAAACCTCCAGTGATTGGGATCCGCCAAAATCACATCCACAAAAATATTGTAATGAGCCGTGGGATCGAGACCAGAAATGTTAAAACTTAAAAAAGGAAACATGCGCCTATTTAAATTAAGCGGGGCGGGGGGAGAGAAAACAAGGAAAAAAGAAAATAAGTGTTAAAGATTAAATGCAAGAAGCGGGGCGCCAGATAGCAAAGCAAAACTTGTTCTCCAAGGGTAGATTAACGAATCTAGAAAAGGGGTGGTGGGAAAGGAAAGAAGTGGGACTGAACGGGAAGAGCAGCGAGTCAGCTGGAGTGGGGGAGTCGACAGGTATCACTGCTCAGGTAGAAAGCAAGGTTGGCGACCTGCCTCTCCACCTCACGGTCCATACAGGCGTTGATGCGTCCCTCCCATCACCCGGCAGCCCGCCGGGGCTCTTCCTCTTTCTCTCGCCTTTTTCCAGCCACTGACTGGCTCTCCGACCGCGTTCGTACATCTGTCTCCCCCCTACCAACATCACCAAGGCGGTTATCCCTTCCACTCTCCCCTTTTCCAAAACCAGCCAACTCCAGGGCGCTCCAGAGCGCCTTCCATTCTGTCCCGACCCCAAATAGTCGCTACCGCAGCGGTCACAACCTGGGTGCGCTTGCCCCCTGGCCGCGCCTGGAGCAGCGGCAGCCAAGAATGTAGCATTACCTTCCCTGTTTGGTGATGATCATCTCCGTTTGGTGCCGGTGAAATTTCAGCCAAAGGGGCCTGTTGCACAGGTACACCTGTGCCTTGCCGGGTACCAACCCCGGCTGAGTGGAGGAGAACTGGTAGAACGGGGCTCCTTGGTAGGAGTGGCCGTATTGCTGTGGGTAGGGGTAGCCCGCGGTGGGGTAGCCCTGCGGTGATGAGTTGGACAGGAGGCTGTTGTATGCTCCGTTGGTGATGACCGGGTGGTGGGCCATGTAGCGGCTGGGGCTGCCGATGGAGAAGGCGGGGTGCGCCGGTCCGTGCTGGCCGGGGTACGGGAACATGGCACTGGGAGCAGTGGCCGCAGACTGTGGCTGGCTGGACTGAGATAGGAGGTAGCGATCTGCAGCAGAGCCATCGAAACTGTGACGAAGCTCAGAGACCCCGTCCAAGACAGGAGAGAGTTTACTTCTCTGGACGTCCCCTGGTGAGTCCTTGGAGTCAGGAAAATTGTCTGTATCTGACTGATTCGTCATCCCCCTGGTAATTTTTTTCAAAGGTGAACTTCTCTCCAGGTTGTCAGTGGTCGAGATAATGGGATGATCGTGCAAGACAAGCTCAGATCCGCCTGAATGTGGGTAGCTGCTGCTCACATTGAGAAATTTCTTGGAGAGCATGATAGAAGGAGAAAGGCAATGCTCCAGCTGCATAGCTCTAGAACCTGAACACTTGCCCTCCCGTCCCTCGTTTTTAAAGTCCTATTTATCATAAACTAGAAATCCACAGACCCCCTCACTAGACAGAAAGCACTTCAACCAGCAAATGCTTCTCAAAGGTTTGATTTACTTTTTTTTTTCCCTGGGAGAAGAGATTGGCCAATTGACACTATGCAGCAATCAGAAAAGGCTCACTTTTGATCTTGCTGCTTGTGCAGCCGATGAAACGGCTCCTGCCATTGGTTAACTGCTGACAGTAATTTAATTAGATAGACATTAATTAGGATAATCACCTGGCTCCTGGTCGCAACGATCATGGCAAATTTAAGGGGATGATTTTATTGTTGGCTTGGGGGGTGGGGGATGTGTGTTGGTTTACGTGAGCACTGTTGTGTCACCTTTAAGCTTTGTGACCACTGCTTTAGGAAGATTCAAAGATGTGCAATTTACTAAACATTTCCTACCTTCCCCCCTCTTCCCCCCTTTAGAGCCGAGGGGCGGAGGAGGAAATTCGATGATGCTAGGAGACTTTTCGGATCTGAATGAGCCAAATATTCAGTTGAATGTAACGATTTCAAGTGCAAAGTATACAAAGCGCGAGCCGGTGGCCTCTTCTCGCCCTGTAAAAGTTCCAGAGTCTGTCTTTTCCAGTTAATACAGAAGCACACAACACCTGAGTGGGTGCTTTGTGAGCAGGTCCTGCGTGTCCTTGGTGCCCTCACCCCCATCCCCCACCTTTTAAACTATATACATAAATAAGTCCCTGCTGCTGAGAGCCACAGTGATGAGCTGGAGGAGGGGGGAGAAGTGGGGACGAAAAGCAGCGACTCACCCACCCATCCACCCACCTCGGGAAGGTTCGGTTTCTTGGTGGAGCATAGAAACAGTGACAATCTATGATCTCCTTTTGAAGTTTTGAAATAATCATAAGCTGTCAGGCTGAAGTGCCTTAATGTATTTGCAGTGATGTTTACCGGGTCTTTACTAAATATTTTATAAACCAAGTTGGTTGCAGATTATCTGAGGAGCATCTAACTGGGGGCAGGCACCATGCAACCTTCCAGTCTCACTGCACTTCCTTTTCTCCGAGGTGCTGGATTGGCGATAGGTTCAAAAGCCTAGCCAGGAGGAGAGAAGTCTGAGTCCCGGTGCAAATGGGTTAGCCAGGAGCGCTGATCTGGGGAGACAGAGTGGAAGTGGTGTCAACGCAATGATCTTTCTGCACATTCGTGTGTGTGTGTGTGTGTGTGTGTGCGCGCGCGCGCGCACGCTGTTTATATAATCTGGAGGGGAGAAAAAGAATCCATGCCAGTAATTTTAAAAGGAGGAAGAATCTAAAGAGGAATAGAAAAAAGAACCAATTTGAAGGGATTTTGGCACAAATAAATAGCACGAGGCCCAAAGCAATTCCGAGGTGTTGGGAGAAAAGATCTCCCAGTACCTGTTCTGCAGATGGGCCCAGCCATCAATCTGAACCATAGTGCCAAGAGCAGCAGAGGTTTTAACTGTCCAAAGCTGCTTCCCGTGGCCCGGCACTCGCCAACCTGGCCTCCCGCGGCTTTCTTCCCAGTCTCCCAGAGCCGCGAGGGAATGAGAAGGAGGAGCGCAGGACCAGAGCTCAGCTCGGCCCAGCGCGGTGGCGGATTCGAGGGCTTGCTCCGCCTGGGAGACTTGAGGGAGGGCCGGGTGACCACCTCTGGTGGAGACCCCAGGGGCACACACTCTCTCCGTGCCACAGGCGAGGCCTTGGCATCTCATCTGATGGAGTCCGTTTATGAGCAGGCGCATCCGCCTCCCTGGGTCGGAGCAGTTCCCTCAGGGACAGAGGCTCTGGGCAAATTGGGTGGATCCTGGGCGTGGGCGGAGAGGGGTTAATGAGATTCGCAGCTTTGCGGCTACGGTGTAATTTAAAGCAGTGCAGTGGACTGAGTGGTCAGCGCTGAGCCCAGACCGCGCCGCCTCCCAACTCGGGCTGGGAGCTTTAGCTGCACTGGGCACCAGCTGCGGCCTCCAGCAGAGCGCCGAGAGCAAGGCTCGGCGCGGGCGGCCCTAGGCTGTACAGGTTGATGACCAGATGTCTCAGATTCGAGCCGAGGCAATTTTCTGGGAGAAAAAAATAAAGCCAGACTCATTTTTCCCTTCGAAAGCAAACCTCGGCTCCTGGCGATGAAGCTTCACAAACCGGCAGGGTCTTAGCCAGTGAGGCATTGGGGCGCGGGGGAGGGGGAGAACAGCTATGACACCATTTGACTCGCTTGTTTTCCTACTCTTGACCTTCCACCGCCATTTGTTCCTCTGAAAGGCTCCTGTCCCATTTTGGCCACCTACATTTCCTCCCCTCTTCCAATCATTGTCTCTGATTGCCTCTCCCTCTGGTGCTTCATAGGGTATCTTTCTCTGTCCTCAATGGGACACGAACCTTAAGTATACACGGAGAAAGTGAGACACCCGCTCTCAGCTCCTTTTGAGGCTTTCCTATTCCTGGCACCCTGAACTGGCTTTTTTTTTTTTAATAAATAAAGAATGCAAAAGTGACACGTTAAGGTGTTAAAAGGAGAGAGAAGACATGGAGTGCACCTCTGAATTTTTAAGAAATTGAACTAAGGGATGAATTGCACTGACCCACTTTGGATTATCAGAACTATTTTCAATAATTCATCACGTGTAGTCTTTGTTTTGAATTAATATATACTCATGAAGGAAAACTAAGACTTTCCTCAAGATCACAACTAATTATGATCCATACTTCTGTAGACCAGTGCATATGAACCATCCCAGGATTCTTGATTGTAGGTTTGGGGTGGAATATGTTTCCATAATATCTAGATGCTATTAATCAAGGCAGGTCACATTTTGAATCGTGAGGTTGGAATTTTCAGTGCTCTACACTAGTCTGAGGAAAGTAGGGCTGTATCTGTGCCGAAGGTTTGTTTCCAGAGTTGTATTAACTCTACATAGTGGGTAGGTAAGAGCTCACATAAGCATATCAGATACACGTGCACCCATGTGTGGGCAAGTATGTGCACACAAACACAAAGTCATTTCAGTGCCTAACTGGGCCTAGGGCATCAGGCTACTGATAAAACAGTTGCACATTCCAAGACAAAGGCATTCCCTGAGCTTCTCCCCTTAGTATATCCTGATTCTTGATCCACTGGACTCAATCTACAAAGAAAACAGGTTTTCTGCTAGGAGGGTTTTTAACATGTTTCTGAAATTGGAACTGTCTCCAACATGAATCAAGAGGAAGTGTTATGTGGCTATGGAAAATCCAGGAAGATCAAGTGATCAAACAAGGGCAAAAACAGAATCACTATGTAAACCTTATCAGAAGGGTTTTAATCACTATGTAAACAAATACACACCTTGAAGTGAATAAAAAAATAAACCCGTGAATACTTTCCAATCTGAATATCAAAACCAGTCCTTGACATACTAAATCTTTCTTCTGAAGGCATACTCTACAAAAAACCTTAACTAGCTCTTAAATCTTTGAAGTTAAGAACCTTAATTATAAAGTGGAAAAAAAAGTCATGTCCAAAAAACCTACAGAGATTAAGCAAAAGGAAAAATTCTACCTTAGTTTAATTGTAAATGGTTAGATAATCCTAATAACCTGAATTAATATATTACATGTTCTACATAAAAATATATCTTTATGTAAAAGAAGAAACTACAGAATGAGCAAAAGGTGCTTAGAATTCCTCTTAATTCAACCAAAAATGACACTATGAGACATACTGAGAATTTAAGCCATTTCTTTGTTTTTGTTAACTTCATCAGACAACCAGTAAAAGCCTAGAATTGTTCAACTAGGACAATAAATGGTCTACCACAATATTTATAATTCCTAAAGTAGGTAAAGTCTAAATCTTAAGACCCCAAATAAACCTTGCTAAGTCTTGGAAATACTCTCACAAGGAAGGGTGCAGACTGGAGTTAACCATGGTGTCTCTCTCTTTTTCCATATGCTTGGGGTAGCCAGTATGGTGCTGTACCATGAATCTTAACAGGGGCATATCAGGTTGGAAGGCTAAGGGTTGACTTCATTTCTGAAAACTGTCAATAGTCAAAATGTTTTTCTCCATCAGAAAACTGAGTATTTCTAAGTTAGTTTGGGAAAGATGAGAGGAAAAAATATTGCTCATAAACTTATGTTTTCTAAACTCACACCATGGCTACTTTTTTCATTTTGCTTTGAAGACGACATTGTATACTTCTGTGGCTATCTTAGATGAAAATCTAGAAGAGTTTCCAGCATGCAGATCCTAGAAATTTCAAAATTATTGGTGGAATGTACTCTTTTAAAATATGAACAATTCTAAATAAAAATTGCCCTTTTCTTCTTAAATGTACTCCTCTGAAATCCTGAAAGTATATGCTTTTAATAAAATGTCAACATTTTGGGGGGTGGGGTTACTCACTCATGAGGTAGCCACTCATTAATGGCAGTCATTTTGCATCTGTGAAGTTCTGTTATCACACTGATATAATTTTATAAGATCTTAAAATGCAAAGGGAAACATCTCTGTGTAAGATTTCCGAAGCACTGTCAAATGTTATTCTGTCAATTCTACCCAGTGCCAAAAAGACCTCAGGAGACATGGATTGTAAATGTATTTTATTTTGTAAGCAACAATCAAAATATATTTGTGCTACTGATTTCTTCAAATATTAAATGGGATATTAACCCACTTTGATGTATTCTTGCTCAACTTTGGAATCTGCAAAGACCCTAACTAAAGAAAACAGAAGTAATTGCACAACTGAGACTAGAAGTGTTACAGTGCTGCAAATGATGCCAGATGTCTTACATTTAACCAAATACACCTTCAGTGGTCCCTTGATTTTGAGCATTAGGAACAGCAGAGGAAGATACACTGAAAGTATCACTATAGTAGCTTTTTGTGTTGCTTTATTTAAATACGACGGTATCCAACATAGCTGCTAAACACTGGACAATATTTGAAGTCATAAGTACATCCACATGTTCTTCCAAATGACGTTTGGGATCCTAAAAGGGAAGGAATAAATAAGAAAAGAAAAAGAAAAAAAGATTAATCACTTTTTTTTCAATAGCTGATGAAATTAGTAACTTAAATTTCCTTAATATATTGTTACATTCTTAGGGTTTTAAAATCTTTTAAAAAGATAAGTAATTAATAAAATAACAGATTGCACAATGAAAAATTAATTTACAAAATCAGTGCTATAACTATAGAGATTTTACAAAGGGTAACAAGGAATTATAAAGCCTATTATCATCTGATTTAAAAAAGGATGCCTTTTATGTGTGTGAATATGCCGGAGTATGTGTGTATATTCTCCGCTGGTCATATTTTTTGTTTGTTTTTGTGGAGCTAGGGATTGAACCCAGGGCTTTATGCAAGCGCTCTAGAGGTAGAGCCCCAGCTCAGGTCACATTATTTTGTCATCCCTAGAGTTTGAGGGAGTGCTTTATTTGAAATAGACATATCAATAGGTAAAAGTTCAATGTGAATGCACACCACTTTTCTCCACGTTAGTAAAAATAAGAATTCTGCATAATTTTAATACCTCAATAGCTGAACTTTAAATGATTCACAAAATATTCCTGGATCAAAAGTCACTGAATTTGGAAATTTTAAAAACAATTTGGATTGATTCTAAAATTTTGTTTCATGCAGATATTTTGGAAAAATACACTAGAAAATGACAGAGGTGTAATCCTTTTAACTAAAACCTAATCAGATCTATTTTTTGAAATAGACCTAGTTAAAAATGAGGCTTAAGGGCTCAGTGGTAGAGCACTCACCTAGCATGTGTGAGGCACTGAGTTCGATCCTCAGCACCACATAAAAATAAATAAATAAAATAATGGTATTGTGTCCAGCTACAACTAAAAAAATAAACATTAAAAAAACGAGGCTTAAAATTGCATTGTAATAAAGGAAGAATTTCATCTATATTAATGTTTGATAGTGAATGGAGTATTTCAGCTAAATTTGAAAGCTTTGAAATAAAGGGTACATATTGTACACAATTTTTAAAAAGTATTAAAGCATTATTTTTTATGGGTATTGTTAAAAATCCCAAGGTTCTTAATTTTAAATAAATGCTCATCATTGGAATTATTTTTTGGCTGTGCTTTTCTATCTATAATTTCAACACACTGATTTCTTTAAACAACCCAGAGATACAATGTGCCATAAACAATTTCAAGTCACTGCACCACAATGTTATTATTAGAAAAGGGTCTTGATTCATTTTAGGTGAAAGATACTGAGAGTGACTGGTAAGAGAGAAAAGATATTGGTTTGATTCCACTATAGACAGTTTCCTTTTGACATAAAACAGACCAAACCAATGAGATACTTAGTACATTTAAATAAATGATTCTGATGACTATTAAACTTTGTCAATTATATATTTTTCAGTTTCACTTTTTAGTTCTTTTATTTTATGTGAACTATTAAATAAAAAAAGTCTACATCATGAAACTATAACCTCAGAGAGTAATTTATTCAAATAGTGAATTCCATGAAGGGTAAAGACTCCGAACTGGTGATCTAATATTATATATTAGGTTAAGATAGTGGAAAAAGACAAGGCTGATATCACATAAGTCGAGAAAATAAGATTAATTATATTTCATGGGGGGGGGCTATTTGTTTTTAAATTATAATATTCCAAATGTACTAAGATTTTATTTCCTGATTTATGATATATAATAAAGTCAAACCTTTGCCCCTTCCATTCTGTTAGGAGTAATTGGTTTTATAGTGAATTGGTAACTCATTTATCAGTTATCTACATTACTTCTTGTGGCAGCTGGGTGATTCTTAGAGATTTCCCATCCAAGAATGGTCCTGGCCCAAACCTACATAGCTTGTGAGATGTGATGGGATCAGAGCATATGGTAGGATGGCTGAAAGCAAAGACAGCTTAGTGTCTTGCATCTGAAATATCATGATTCTGCCAACATCAGCAATATGATAACCATGTTCCATGAAATGGGGAAAAAATGTAATCAACATTCTTTAAAAAACAGTCTAATTAATCTGTAGATTCCTTTAATTGGTTGGTGTTTTCCCCCCACCCTTAGATAATAGCAACTAAAACATATCTTTCATCTTAGAAAAGTCAAAGAACAAATACTTAAAACCATTTCTTTTCATGCATTATAACCAACATAGTTCTAACATTTCTCAGATACATTACCTATATATTGATAAAATAATTCATTAAAAACGGTTAAATATAAAATAACCCTACCATTCTATTATCTTACATGATCTATAGTAAAAACAATATTTGCATAATTAATTCAGGACAAAATGCCCTAATTAATTTCTAGTAAATAATTTTTACTAAAGATAGTATATCATAGGTATAGATTTATGATTTATTCTCTATAGATGGCAAAGAGAATTTAACATCAAATAAATTCAGTGACCTTTAAAATTAGTATCATATTCACATGAGAGAAGAAAATGTAGAATGAACAGACAGGGGGAAAAAATTTACATAGGCCCTAAAATAGTTTTAACTCAGTAAGAGCAGGTTATTATGAGACAGTATAACTGATTATAGTACACCTCACCTGCTTGCCAACATTCTTTATTGCCAGCTGTTCAGGTGTCATCTTATCTTCTTCTTCTACAGCCTGTGAATAAAACACAAAGGACAGAGCTTCAAATTCTTCATTTACATTTCCCTCTGAAAAATAATCACCAAAATAATGGGGATCATAATTTTCATTCATAAAACCTTTTACTCAAAAAATTTATTGCACAAAAAACCAATTTTACTAATCTTCATAATAACTTTCAGGGTAATGAAAGTTATTACTGCTATTATTTGAAAACGATGATTTCAAACAATTATTTGAAAACAGACTTAGGAAATATGTAAATGGTATTGAAAATATCAAACTTGATCATTAAATGGTAGTATTAACTGCATGGAGACCATTATTGAATTCTTTGAGAGGTAGAGGGAAGTGGAAGTAAAGCTGCTTTATGGCACTGTGGTACTAATTATGCTCTATCATCTTTTCCTACTTTTACAAGTAGTTCTCCCTCAAGTTCCCATTTCTTTATCTCCTTTATTCTTGTCAATCCAGCCTGCATATATACAGTATATATTTAATAGCACTTAGGATCAAAGGAGCTACTGACATTTGAACTACTTAATAAATCACATGTTAATCTCATCATATCTTTAAATCTCTTCTGGGAAAAAAAATTGCACTACTCTACATGAGGAATCTTTAGTAACAATAAAGAAATCTGAAGTTTTTGACATCAAAATAATTAGGGGCTGAGGATGTGGCTTCAGGGTATAGAGTGTTTGCCTAGCATGTGCAAGGCCCTCAGTTTGATCCTCAGCACTCGGCGGGGAAAATTACCTGAATCATGTAAACAAACCACTTTACACTACTTTCAGAGTTAGCTGTAAACTCTTGTGTATGACCACAAGCTTCCTAGCATAATAATTTTAAAAATCATTAAAACATTTACAATATTTATATTAGTATTCATCTCCCAATAATGGCACAAAATACAAAATCTTTATTAAGAATCCTAAGCTTAAGGAACCTTCTTTTTAACAGTTTGGGTCCCGAAGTCCTGAAGATAGCACTATACATCAGGAGAACTTGTGGTCTATGATTTTTTCATAGCATCTGATGATTGCAAAACAAAGAAAACTTTATGATTGCCAACCTCAAGAAATACTACCTCAGCATTTACCATAAAGATGGTTACAATAAGGGGTGAAATAGTAGTGGCAGAAAGCAGGAAACCAAAATCCCAGTGAGGGTTAGATTTGGATACTCTAAACTTAATAATCTCACAGCTGCCAAATTTCTTCATGTGTGAACAATGAACATGTAGGAAACGCAATCATCAGACATTTCCCATAAACTGGGAAGTTTGGCTGCATTTCACACCTTCTTAATAGTTTTGTAAACAGAGAACTTGAAAATGAGCAAAGATGGCAAGTGTCTAATTTTATAAATGGACAAACTATCTAGAGAATTTTTCCCAATAGAACCTGCCTAAATAGAAAAGATGGTGAATAAGTATTGTATCTACTTATTACTAGAGGATACATCATTAGAAATTACATTAATGACTCATAAACCTGAAAGAAGGAAAAACAAAATTTAATAACACTCCAAATCTAAAATTCCCTAGACAGAGAATATGTTCATTTTCAGAGTCAGATGTCACTCTATTATTCTCAGCTAGTTATGAAAGTATTTCCTAACTAGGAAATTGCTTCTACTTTTCAATGTTTCACATAAACAGAAACACTGACATGCATTAAGAGTTTTTCTTTCTAAATTTCTTTTACAAATTGTGACATTAGACTTTATTGACTTAAAAGCATATTAGATGAATGAAACAATTCACATAAATTTGTACTACATATCCATTCAGTGTTAGTTGTCCTATGCACATGCCAATAACATTACTTACTACAGTACTGGAAGGAAGCAAGAGTTTTGGAATTTGGCTCAAACTACCAATCCACATACAAAACAGTTATTAGGAAGTATTTTGGATTATTATAAATATCAAAGGTGACAGATATACAAAGATGAAGGCCAAAAGCATTTAAAGCACTAATCTTATCTGAAAAGATAAACAGAACATAAAGAGCTCTAACAAAATTTTAAAGTCATTTACATCATTTTACCACTTTACCAATTAGTTTTTTCCATTCCCAATAATTAAAAGAGAGTTCACAAACTCTTTGCGAAGTGCAGATGGTAAAAAGTACTCCCAGCCATAGATGCCATCTGGGAAATGAGGAGCAGCTGTAGATTTAGGCATATACTAAGGTTGCAAACCCCCATGACAAAAGGAGTAAGCACATCTCTTCCATTCTAAGACAGACCAGATCATTACATCAAACCCCTAAATAGTCTCTCCATCTACCTAAGTCACCTATATCTTATCTACCATCTGGGCAAGACCAGTTTGTCTTCATTCACAGTTCTAATCTGGCTAGTCACCAGGAAAAATTAAGAAATGGTAGCAGCAGAAACAAATGAAATTCAGGCACAGGCAGTGTCCTCACTAGGGAACTTCTGTGTTTATGGCAACTTCTGTGATTTGGCTTCAAATTTTGCTTTTGCATTTGTGCTCTTCGGTTTACTCAACCAACAAAAAAGCACTGAAAATGTTTGTGGCTATTCACACTAGAAACGTTTTTAACAGTTTATCAACAAAGACCCCCAGATGGCTATCCCATCACGCACGGTCTGCACAGTTCTAAGAAATTCTTGGAATTTGGTCTGTTATATGATCATAATCCCCTCAGATGTGCCCCCTATCTTAAATAGGTTTTACTAAACCTCTTAACCTCATTCTCTTTTTTCTGTTAATATTCCAAGTTTCTCAAATGAAAAATCTATATCTCAAATTTCACCATTTTATTTTCCTTTTAACAAATGTAGATTGGATCCTTGGTGTTTACTGTCACTCTTTTAAGGCCCTCCACTACGCCAATTTCAGTTTTTTCAACACCTTTGGATTATTCCACCTGTTTTCTATTCTTTAACCCTTGCTTTTGATACCATTCTTATTCCACATACTTCTCTGATTATTCCGTTGGATTCTTTTTTTCCCTGATGACATGCTTTTTTCATTCTGTAACATGCCATGATCCCACTTAAGCACATGCTTTCTAATATAGCCAATATGGCAATTTAATGTAAAATAGGACACAAACTGTTAAATGGAATATGCTTTATTTTATTTTTTTTAACCAGTAAACAACCTCTGGATAACTGCTAGTGGATTTCAAGACAACATATTTTACTTCTTTTATGATTGTAACATTTATTTTTTACACTGAGAACAACACTGTTGTTCTATAGCTGAGAATAACACTATGGGTTATGGGTGTAGACAATGTATTTAAATAAATGGCTTTTTATAAAACACACTTGGGAAAACAAAATGAACAAATATGAAGCAATCTGAAAATTATCTGAGAAGGTACAAGAAATTTGAGTATGAATTACATCAAAGTTTTTTTTTCTACCCATCAGTATATGTTTTTTACAAATATTAACTTACTGAAGTCTGAAAACAATCGAATGATATAGTTAGTCAATATTTGATATTTAAAGACATTAGGCACTATATCCTTGGGGTACCATATACTAATTCCAATGATATTTCTTTTTTGGGGGGGCAGGTACTAGGGATTGAACTCAAGGGCACTCGACCATTGAGAGGATTTAGAGTTCTAAGTCAGCCTCAGCAACTTAGTAAGGCCCTAAGCAACTCAGCGAGACCCCATTTCCAAATAAAATACAAAAAAGGGCAGGGATGTAGCTCAGTGGTTAAGTGCCCCTGGGTTTTAATCCCTGGTACCAAAAACAAAAACAAAAAAAGTCTCAGAGATGATGAAGAGGATAATAAGTACCAAATGATAGGGAAAAAGATATTTCAAAAGTTAATATGGCTAAACCATGAAAACAATCCCCCTGCCCTGTAGTGCTGGGAGTCAAACCCAGGACTTACACATGCTATGCCAATTTCTCTTAAAGAAAAGTTTAAAAATAGAAAAGCAAAGGCAGCAAAATGGAAGAGTTAGGAAAACCAGGTAACGTATTGCCACGGAAGTAAAGGGAAGAGACTTAAGTTCAAAGGTATGAAGTACAGGCAAGGAGGCAAGGAAAATAACTGAAAAAAAAAGCAAAATCAATGTACTAAAAAAGTGAATCAATTACTTCTTTTAACAAGGTGGAAATAGTAGAAACTATCATTAGTATTCCACTCCATCAGGGAAAGGCGGTGATTCTAAGGACACTGGAGGCCAACTTCAAAAAAGGATCAATGACGGGAGAGTTCAGCCTTACAGAACGACAGGTACCAAGTATGCAACGATGAAAAATAGCTGAGGCAGGGTATGGTGTTGTAACACTTGTAATCCCAGCAACTCAGGATAACCACAAGTTCAAAGCCAGCCTCAACAATTTAGTGAGGCCCTAAACAACTTAGTGAGACTGTGTGTCAAAAAATAAAAAGGGGTTGGGGATGCAGATTAGTGGTTAAGTGTCCCTGGGTTCACAACTGCTGGTACAAAAAAAGATTTTAAAGAAAAAAAGATGCCCTTTAGAGGGCACGGCACATAGTAGCTCCTTAAAATTTATATGTTTATGTTAAGATCAGTTAATCCTAATGATTAGTTTCTTAAATAATAAGTATTGCATCCTTCATTCATTCACTCAAATATGTATTGAGCATCTACCATTTATCTGTCAGTGTGCCAGAAACAAAATGAGACTTGATAGCTGAATTCAAAGGGCTTAAAGTCAAAACAAGAAATTTTAAAAATAAGAATTAGCTTAACAGAGATACATTGGAGTATAAATAAGCATTCCAAATTGTTGATATGAAGGTCTCAATGGTGCAAGAGTGTTAAACTGAGCCCTGAATGGGAAGGCACTACAGTGACAAGGAGTGCTTTAGGCCAGGAAGCAAGAAAGAGCATTCTAAGTTTAAAGAACTGCAAATTATTCAGTAGCGCAATAATATAACAGTGGTTAGGAGATAAAGCGACAGAGGTTTAGACTTCATTCTAGGGCAAACAGAAGTCAGTCATCAAATCTTTTTAAAAGCAAGGCAGTGGCATGAACCAATT